CAGTCTCAGGTACCACTGGAGAAGTAGCTGGTTCGTCTGGAGTAGTAGCAGTGTGCAAGGATGTTGCAGAGTCTGTATCAGGTTGCACAGGGTGGGCGTCAGCAGACAGGATATCTGCCAATGCAGTTGAAGAGATGGTGATGCTGATGTTAGAAGCAGAAGTGGTATTTGTTGCTGAAGTCGTAGCATTGGTGTTGGCTGAGGCTGTTGTTGTGAAGAGCTCGTCACGAACAGTAAATGTTGGTAAACCGTTGTCAGCGTACATAATGTTCAGAATTCGTACAAATTCCTTGATGTTCGTGCCTGCAATCATTTCAGCAGTGCGGATGAGTCCCATTATGACGTTGTGGTTCCTGTTAGGGAGCAGCATCTGGTGTGGTGAGGGCTGGCTTGTTGATTCAGCAGAGTAAACTTGTGGCTGTCGCTGCTGCGTCGATGATTGGTTGGCGGGCTGGGACCCAGGGCCCCAATGGGATGCAGTCTGTGCAGAAGCTCCGCCCCCTCCCGGAAGCAGAGGAAAGTTGGCGGCTTGCACGTTGAATGTTGACGGTTCTCGTCGTGTGGTGTTGGCTTGCCTGGCTTCGGTCATCTTCTGTATTTCTTGACGTCTTTGTGGACACTCAGCAGAGACGGCAGTATGGTGACCTTGGCAGAGAAGGCATTTGAGGAAGTCGCTGGTGCATTGTTTGAAGTGGTGACTCTCGGCGCACTTGCTGCACCGTTGGTCCTGAGATGGGCAATTTTTAGTGAAGTGCTCATAACTATAGCACTTAAAACACTGTCGTAGCTGGTAGTAATGTTCTCTTGTTATTTGTCGGGGTGTACAAGCGAGGCCGAAGCACCGGAAGCCGTTGGTGGTAGCAGAGGTAGCTTCCTCAGGCGAGGTGAAGGTGACCTTCATAGTGGAGAGGTGGCTGTCCTGCACAGGGATGAATTTTACGGTGACTGCAGTCAAGGAAGGGTTATCTTCGGTTATGCTGGTGGCGACGTCAGTGGTAGCTTTTTCGGAGATGAGGGAGCTCACTCTCCTTACGAAAACAGTCCTGGCTGCGAGGTAGTGTCGTGGTGGGGTGAGGAACATGTGCGCCTCCTCGAGAGCAGTGAGGTGAATGGGGTTAAAGAGGCGTTGTACGGCCTCGGCACTGCTGAACAGCAGTTGAGGGTGTCCATCATCGTTGAGTACGACGTCCAGGGGTGCAACATTGGTTGTAGTGGTGATCAAATCCGATATCTCTGATCGAGTAGGGGTCTGGTTCCCTCTGAATCGTACCTTGATTCGGTAGATCATGGCTCTAATCGTTGCTGCCTAATGTTTACCCACCCGGCAGTGCTGGGTGCAGGAGAGCCTGATCTAGAGGGTTGCACTTTCCTTAAGAGGTCTCCCGTCTCTTACCGGTTTAATGCACCGGATCAGGGTGGGGTCTGACCTCTTAAAGCAAAGTACTCTGAATGTGGAGATGTCGGATGAATGAATGAATTAAATATAGGTCAAGATACCCTAATGGGTGAGCGTGGAAGTGGGGATAGGGGAAGAATTAGTGGGGGTGAGAGGAAGGGTTTTTAGTATGAGGTAAAGTGCCAGGGCTAGACCCAGCTGCATGGCATTGAAATCGTTATGACCAGACTAGGCAGTGAAGGCAAGGAATCGGATCTGTGACAACAATTCGTCTTTTCTGAGCACCCACGGAGACAGCAGCCCTCAGCTGGGTGTGCCCTGGAGGCTCACACCAGATGTGGTCTTTGATCTGATAATCAGCATCGTGGCCCACCCAAGGCACCAGAAAACGGGAGCTAGTTGGTCCCCCCCTAAAGAGGGAGGAGAAGAGTTAGGAGGTTATAGTTGGAAGTTTGGTGATTTGAGTAGTGATATTATAGGAGAGGGGTTATGTAAAGGACGGAGCAGGAGGTGGATCGTCGATCAGGTTAAAGAGGTTGTGCGTATGTCTGGGTCTGCTTAGGACGTTTCTGAGGAACGTGTCGTAGTTGTCATGATAGGTGAGAATTCTGTCAATCTGTTTCTTCCCATAGTATCCCAGGTTATGTTCAGAGGTGGGATGTTCGCCCTCTCATGCAGGGCCTCACTGGTGGTGAAGTCCTGCCAATGGGTATCGAACACCCATCTCAGAGCCCTGTTCTGGGTACGCTGGAGTTTCTTCCTATTTGTTGGTGCTGCAAGTGTGAGTGGGATCGGTGCATATGTTAGGAGTGGGAGAATAAGTGTTTTGTATAAGTAGAGCTTGGTGGCTTGGGAGGCATGTTTGAGTGGGTAGAGTTTTGATAGGGCGTTTGAGGCTATAGCTTTCTTGGGTGTTATGTGTGTGTGAAAGCGAAGGTTAAAGTCTAGTGTGAGTCCAAGTACTGTGGTTTTGTTGACTCTTGGGATCTGGGTTGCATCTGGTGATTGAGAGTAGAGTTTTACTGGGTCAGGGTTACGTCGTTTGTTGTAGAAAAAGTAAGTTATTTTTGACTTGTTGGGGTAGATGTCGGCACGATTTCCCCAGACTATATCCCGTCAAGCGGACGTACTTGTAGCATGGCAACTCCTAACTCCTGCCTGTCCTTACTTTATGCTTGTACTCGAGCAGAAACACGGCTTTCTCACAACGCTTTCAAAACTGCAGTTGCCTACTCGTCTGTTTCACGTCTCTGTGAAATGACTTTTGCACAAATCCAAAAATAGAGCAAAATCAGCGATAATAGTGTTTGAGGTGAGCTGCCTGTTGGCTGCAGCCAGAGGAAGGAGGGGAGGGGCAACGGGGTGACGTAGGCGAGTCGAGCAGCCAATGGCGCTCGAGCAAGCGCCTCGAGACGGCGTATATAAGCAAAAATTTTTCGGCGCCGGCCCACAGAGTACTTTGCTTTAAGAGGTCAGACCCCACCCTGATCCGGTGCATTAAACCGGTAAGAGACGGGAGACCTCTTAAGGAAAGTGCAACCCTCTAGATCAGGCTCTCCTGCACCCAGCACTGCCGGGTGGGTAAACATTAGGCAGCAACGATTAGAGCCATGATCTACCGAATCAAGGTACGATTCAGAGGGAACCAGACCCCTACTCGATCAGAGATATCGGATTTGATCACCACTACAACGAATGTTGCACCCCTGGACGTCGTACTCAACGATGATGGACTCCCTCAACTGCTGTTCAGCAGTGCCGAGGCCGTACAACGCCTCTTTAACCCCATTCACCTCACTGCTCTCGAGGAGGCGCACATGTTCCTCACCCCACCACGACACTACCTCGCAGCCAGGACTGTTTTCGTAAGGAGAGTGAGCTCCCTCATCTCCGAAAAAGCTACCACCGACGTCGCCACCAGCATAACCGAAGATAACCCTTCCTTGACTGCAGTCACCGTAAAATTCATCCCTGTGCAGGACAGCCACCTCTCCACTATGAAGGTCACCTTCACCTCGCCTGAGGAAGCTACCTCTGCTACCACCAACGGCTTCCGGTGCTTCGGCCTCGCTTGTACACCCCGACAAATAACAAGAGAACATTACTACCAGCTACGACAGTGTTTTAAGTGCTATAGTTATGAGCACTTCACTAAAAATTGCCCATCTCAGGACCAACGGTGCAGCAAGTGCGCCGAGAGTCACCACTTCAAACAATGCACCAGCGACTTCCTCAAATGCCTTCTCTGCCAAGGTCACCATACTGCCGTCTCTGCTGAATGTCCAAAAAGACGTCAAGAAATACAGAAGATGACCGAAGCCAGGCAAGCCAACACCACACGACGAGAACCGTCAACATTCAACGTGCAAGCCGCCAACTTTCCTCTGCTTCCGGGAGGGGCGGAGATTCTGCACAGACTGCATCCCATTGGGGCCCTGGATCCCAGCCCGCCAACCAATCATCGACGCAGCAGCGACAGCCACAACTTTACTCTGCTGAATCAACAAGCCAGCCCTCACCACACCAGATGCTGCTCCCTAACAGGAACCATAACGTCATAATGGGACTCATCCGCACTGCTGAAATGATTGCAGGCACGAACACCAAGGAATTTGTACGAATTCTGAACATTATGTACGCTGACAACGGTTTACCAACATTTACTGTTCGTGACGAGCTCTTCACAACAACAGCCTCAGCCAACACCAATGCTACGACTTCAGCAACAAATACCACTTCTGCTTCTAACATCAACATCACCATCTCTTCAACTGCATTGGCAGATATCCTGTCTGCTGACGCCCACCCTGTGCAACCTGCTACAGACTCTGCAACATCCTTGCACACTGCTACTACTCCAGACGAACCATCTACTTCTCCAGTGGTACCTGAGACTGCACCAACTTCACCAGCTTCACCAGAAAATACACCAGCCGCACCTGAGACTACACCAGCTTCACAGGTACCTACACCTGATGCTTCTGAAAACCAACACTTGTTTTCCGATGATGACTCTACTGCCTCGATTGACGTTGAAGCACAATCACCATCTCCAGCAACACAGGAGTCTCCAAGAGTCTCCGCACTATATGATCAACGTGAACACTTACACTTGGAACTCCCGAATACAGACGCCTCTCCAGCAAAATACTCAACACAAGGTATGCGGAATGCCTGCTGAATGATCCAAACTCCAAGTACATACTAAGGAACGAAGTAATCTTCGTTGAATGCGACGAAACCACATTGTCAAAGGACCTTTTCCCACCAGACTACGCCGATTACAAACATCAAATGATTACTCGAAGCAAGAAGAAAGAAGAAACACCAAATGAAGAAGAAGAAGACACCACATGAAGACTGATTGTTTCCACCTTGAATGCTGAAGCACTGCCACCGCCGCCTTCCAGACCCGCCTCCAAGCCTAGCCAGTTGTTGGGTTGTTTGCAGCATCGACGTATTGCCACGCAGCTGGGTTTAGCCCTGGCACTTTTTCTTCAACTTCAGCATTTCCTCTCACCGACTACTCTTCAGCTGTCCCCACTTCAAGGCTCGCCCCAATGGGCATCTTCTCCTGTATTATTCAGTTCAGTTCAGCGCCGGCCATCACAAACCACAGTTGTTCACCATGGCTCGCACCAAGCAGACTGCTCGCAAGTCCACGGGAGGCAAGGCTCCTCGTAAGCAGCTGGCCACCAAGGCAGCACGCAAGTCTGCTCCTGCCACAGGGGGCGTGAAGAAGCCTCACCGTTACAGGCCCGGAACGGTCGCCCTGCGTGAGATCCGTCGTTACCAGAAGAGCACAGAGTTGCTCATCAGGAAACTTCCCTTCCAGCGTCTGGTGCGCGAGATTGCCCAGGACTTCAAGACCGATCTTCGCTTCCAGTCGTCTGCCGTCATGGCTTTACAGGAGGCATCCGAGGCTTACCTGGTCGGTCTCTTCGAGGACACTAACCTCTGTGCCATCCACGCCAAGCGTGTCACCATCATGCCAAAGGACATTCAGCTTGCTCGCCGTATCCGTGGAGAGCGTGCATAAGCTAAAACGACCACCCTAGTATACACCAAACTCGGCCCTTCTCAGGGCCAAAATATCCTTCTAAGGAGATTTCAGACATTCCTAGCATCAGTCATATGAATTAACCTTCATCTATACATATAATAAATAAATAAATACAATAATTTAGGTGTCATACATACACTGTACACGTGATATCAATAAATCAAGTCATTTGTAGTACAACCTGTCCTCTTACAAACAAAACGCCGTCGCTTTTCATTCTTATGCACTGCCAAGGATCCTCCCCCCCCCCCCCCAAAAAAAAAAAAAAAAATTGTCATACTGTACTAGAAATAAAAGCAGCTTGTATAAGTGACATACTGTCCTGTCCTGTTTTATTCTGTTTTTGGTCCTCTGGCTTAATCTGTTAAGTTAGGAGATGACATTTTAAATTAACCGTTTTCTTGACATTTTCAAACCTTAAGAGGGTGGCCTGCATAGTAATCCTAATGTGGAACATAACAATGAATCTCTAATCTCTAGAAAAAAGATACCGAGTGTTTATATGTGTGTTGAGAGAGAGAGAGAGAGAGAGAGAGAGAGAGAGAGAGAGAGAGAGAGAGAGAGAGAGAGAGAGAGAGAGAGAGAGAGAGAGAGAGAGAGAGACAGAGACAGAGACAGAGACAGAGACAGACAGACAGACAGACAGACAGACAGACAGACAGACAGACAGACAGACAGACAGACAGACAGACAGAGACTGAGAGAGAGAAACACACACAGACAGTTTCATAAATATTCTCATTTTATAGCTATTTGCTTTCAGTGACAGAGGTTTTTGTTATAATAGTATTGGTGTCTAACACTCACAATCTCTTTAGAAATTAAAGTGTGGCTCCAATGGAGCCGAGTTTGTTGGTTTGAGGCCAAGCCACCACCACAGGGCAGTAAGTAAGCCGTTTACTTGGAGGAGGTGTACTTGGTGACGGCCTTAGTGCCTTCAGAGACGGCGTGCTTGGCCAGTTCTCCGGGCAACAGGAGCCTTACAGCCGTCTGGATCTCCCGACTGGTAATGGTGGAACGCTTGTTGTAGTGGGCCAGGCGAGAAGCCTCGGCAGCGATGCGCTCGAAGATGTCGTTCACGAACGAGTTCATGATCGACATGGCTTTGGAAGAGATACCAGTGTCGGGGTGGACCTGCTTCAGCACTTTGTAGATGTAGATGCTGTAGCTCTCCTTCCTCCTGCGCTTCTTTTTCTTATCGCCCTTGGCAATGGCCTTCTGGGCCTTTCCGGCCTTCTTGGCAGCCTTTCCAGATGCCTTGGGTGGCATGATGATGCTCGTGCTGGCTGGCGTTGCGATACAATAATGAACTTTTGCGCGAGTCGAGCTTTCCTTTTATATCCCGCTCGCGACTCAGCTCAGAGCGGGTCGCGTGGCGGAGCGCGCTGATTGGTCAGTGGCGGACTCCCTTGATCCTGAGCGGGGTATATAACACGAAGCTCGATCTGCGGGCCGGCATAAAGATAAAGATAAAAGATAAAGATAAAGATAAACACAAACCGACAGATAAACTTTCGACCGAAAACCTAGATCAGGCTCTCTGCACCCAGCACTGCCGGGTGGGTAAATATTAGGCAGCAACGTAGAGCCATGATTTACCGCATAAAGGTCCGGTTTCGTGACGAAACCACTTACACCGGACCCCAATTACTAAGGAAAATCGTTGACATCACGAATGCAGCCCCGTTGGACATCCGTGACGATGCTGACGGCGCTGTACTTCTTTATTCAAGCGAGCAAGCTCTGGAGCAACTGTTTGCACCAGAACACCAGGACGCCCTACGAAACGCCAACCTGATCATCACTCCTAACCGTCGCTACTTGGCTGAACGAACCATCTTCGTCAGCCACACAAGTGTCTACATCGCCACCCAAGACCCTGGTACCATACTTGATAGTATCAACACCAGAAACCCGGCTCTGACTGCTGCTACAGTCAAGGTCATCAAGAACAACGACAACCCTAGGCCTACTCTCAAGGTCACCTTCACAACAGCTGCTGCAGCGACCCAAGCTGTGGAAAATGGATTTAGATGTCTGGATATTTCCATCACACCTGACACTGTAAAGAAGGAACGGTACTACAACATTCGCCAGTGCTTTAAGTGCTACAAGTACGATCATGATACCAAGAACTGCCAACAAGCAGAGGTTAAATGCAGCATTTGTACCCAGGATCATCACTTCAAAACCTGCCGGTCAACCACCAAACTGTGCCTCAATTGTGGAGGAGCTCACATCGCCGTCTCCATGGACTGCCAAGTACGACTAGACGAAATAAATAAAACAGCAACTGCCAACCAACAACCAATCAGCCGGCGAGCTTCAATATCCAAGCTACATCGTTTCCAGTGCTTCCCAACGCTTCTGCTCCTGCTACACAGACGTCCACACCAGGCCAGACCACCCCCCAATGGGGACCCAGGACACAGGCGACTGCAGCTCAGCCAACCAACTTGACTGTCAACCAATCAGCGGCCTCGACCAACACCACTCTCATCCCATGCCTGATCAGTGTAGCTGAGAGAGAGGCGGGAACAGACAACGCAAAATACGTGAGAGTACTGAACATGCTGCTCGCCCAGAACAACCTGCCTACAATGTTGATACCAGCAGACCTATTTCAACATCACAACGCTGCTTCAACCCAAACAGACGAAATTCCAACACCAACAGTAACCGCAGTCATACCGCAACCACCACCACCGGAGTCGAACCCAGCACAAGTCACCCAGGCAACAGCATCCACCCAGACTACCACCACAGCAGACAAGTCAACCTCATCACCTGCCCCCACCAGCCCGAGACGGAAGAAAATGAGAGCAAAAAGGAGACCAAGAAGTCAGCAAGTGGAATCAGAATCAGATTCAGAACCAGAGTCCCTAGAAGCCTTGGCTGAGACCTTCACATATGAGGCCCCAGACTTCGACCTAAACCCAAGCAAATCAAGCAAGAAAATGCCCTGCTTTGGACTTTACCTCAATCACGGTGGCAATTTCAACGGCAATCGAAGCACAAGAATGGTCATTGCCTTAGAATGCAACAGGATCATGAACCAGCTCAGGAAAACCATTCCTTACCCTGTGTTTGTCCACCACGAGACCGTGGAACGCTATGTAGACCTCTGCGCTCTGGAGAGTGCATACATCGACCCTAAATTCGACGTCAAGAGGGGACAAGTGACCTTCCTGGAAGAAGATGAAGACCCGACAGGAATACCAATACCACCGCTAACATTCGGGAAGTACATGCGAATACCTCCTGGCCGAGACACCACCAAGCAACAGTGAACTTACCTCTCACCATCTCAATAAGGAAGACGCCTCCTCCAAGCCAGACAGACCACCTCAAGTGAACCAGGACGACATCACCCTGCCCCACCACTAGCCTCCTGCCGCCCAAGAAGAACTTAAGCTACAGGCTTTGACTGAAAAAACATCTCCAATCCAAGGTGGACGGGCCACCGAACTTTCAAGCCTCCTCTCTCCACATCCAAACCCTCTTCCAAGAATTTCATCGCCCCATCCTTCTTCCTCCCACATCCTTTCCAAGCTCTTTGGACATCAAAGCGAAAGCCGGCATAAAACACCACAAACCCACAACAGCAGCAGCAATGTCAGGACGCGGCAAGGGAGGCAAAGTGAAGGGCAAGTCAAAGTCTCGCTCCAGCAGGGCCGGACTTCAGTTCCCCGTGGGCAGAATTCACCGTCTGCTGCGTAAAGGCAACTACGCCGAACGCGTCGGTGCTGGCGCTCCTGTCTACCTGGCAGCCGTCATGGAATACCTCGCTGCCGAAGTTCTGGAGCTCGCCGGTAACGCCGCACGTGACAACAAGAAGACCCGTATCATCCCACGTCACTTGCAGTTGGCCATCCGCAACGACGAAGAACTCAACAAACTTCTGTCTGGCGTAACCATTGCACAGGGAGGTGTTCTTCCAAACATTCAGGCAGTTCTTTTGCAAAGAAGACAGAGAAGAAGTAAGCACTTCTGCCACCCACCACGACAAATACCATAACCAGGCTCCATCCGGAGCCACACACACTTTAATAGAGAGATTCAAGTAGACAATCAACTTTCAAACATTAATAATAACATTTATATTGATTTCATTTGGAATGTGTACATAACAAACAAACAAAACAAAATTATAGGGGATATTCAGCATCACTTGGAATATTAACCAATCATATAAATCCATATATATTTTATATTTTACTTTAAGCGAGGAATTCATATTCTATCAATTTTTAATCATACAAATGAACAAAAGCAATTCTTCACTAGACGTAATGAATGAATAAATGATCAAGGTTTTAATGTGTTTCATGAATAAAATATATATATATATATTATATATATATATATATATATATATATATATATATATATATATATATATATATATATATATATATATATAATAATATATATAATATAATATATTATAATACTTGTGAACCAGAATATGTTTGAGCAGCAGCGATCGTGCCATTGGCCGAAGTGCAACAATTCAAATAATTTAAAGGGCCTGCTCGGGTATATAAGAGAGGCTGGGAGACTGGGGCCGGCACAGAGTACTTTGCTTTAAGAGGTCAGACCCCACCCTGATCCGGTGCATTAAACCGGTAAGAGACGGGAGACCTCTTAAGGAAAGTGCAACCCTCTAGATCAGGCTCTCCTGCACCCAGCACTGCCGGGTGGGTAAACATTAGGCAGCAACGATTAGAGCCATGATCTACCGAATCAAGGTACGATTCAGAGGGAACCAGACCCCTACTCGATCAGAGATATCGGATTTGATCACCACTACAACCAATGTTGCACCCTGGACGTCGTACTCAACGATGATGGACTCCCTCAACTGCTGTTCAGCAGTGCCGAGGCCGTACAACGCCTCTTTAACCCCATTCACCTCACTGCTCTCGAGGAGGCGCACATGTTCCTCACCCCACCACGACACTACCTCGCAGCCAGGACTGTTTTCGTAAGGAGAGTGAGCTCCCTCATCTCCGAAAAAGCTACCACTGACGTCGCCACCAGCATAACCGAAGATAACCCTTCCTTGACTGCAGTCACCGTAAAAATTCATCCCTGTGCAGGACAGCCACCTCTCCACTATGAAGGTCACCTTCACCTCGCCTGAGGAAGCTACCTCTGCTACCACCAACGGCTTCCGGTGCTTCGGCCTCGCTTGTACACCCCGACAAATAACAAGAGAACATTACTACCAGCTACGACAGTGTTTTAAGTGCTATAGTTATGAGCACTTCACTAAAAATTGCCCATCTCAGGACCAACGGTGCAGCAAGTGCGCCGAAG